TTCGGGCGTTTGCGCAAGTGCCACGATGTTCCCGCTGCTCCGAGCTTATTTAGATGCAAAAGACCGGCTTTTCATTCTACCACTCAACTCACCGACTACGGCACAATCACGATGAGTGATATTGACAACTTTGGCACCGTCCCCTCAACGCAAACATGCCGGCGACGATGCAGACCGGGACGATTTTCAGCGTTCAGGGATTAATAGAGAAGGCTGCGATGGTATACTTAACCGACTATAGTATCGTGGTGGCCGCCGTGAAGGCGGGCGTATCCGACAACCAGTGGCCACATTCGCACCGCATGATAGCTGCTGCAAGTGTCAACGAGTTTCTCTCGTCAACCGAGATTTCTCATACATTCGAAGTAAACGTGTGTTGCTCATTCATCGACTACTCCTGTTGTTAGTACCGTAGTACTTCGTCCCAGCGCGTAATGGTAGTGCCATAGCGATGTAAAAATTCAGGCACGTCTGTGCTTCTTGCGCACACCCTTGCCCTGTGATTCCTGCTCAGCAGCTTCACGTTCAAAACGTGACAGAAGCTGTAAGGCTTCGTCTGCCGTCGGCCGAGCACTCGGGTCTGGGTTCATCAACCGATCTAGGAAAAGCGCTCTTTCGGGCTCCGCAGTCCATTCCCGTTCAATCTTACTTGTCTTCACCAGGTATCCCACGGCCCATAAGTCAACCGCAGTCGTGTGGGATCCACCTTCCATAAAAATGTCTGAAGCGTGTTCGTCGTGCGTCAAGTGATCGCCGCTGGGATATTTCTGCGGACTTTGAGCTGCATCAGCGAAGTCGATCAAAAACCATTCAACGCGGTCGATATGCTTGATCACGTTAGACCAACGGATGTCTCTGTGCATCCACCCGTTGCGATGGAGGACTACAAGGGCCTCGAGAACGTTCCCGAGCGCGACGAACAGTTCACTCAAGCTGCATGGCTTCATCTCAATGCCGCGGGGCTTAAGTGTCAACCTCAATTGGTCTGAATCCACCGTGACGACTGCATCGGCACAAGGAACCCCATAAGCTTTCAAAGAATCGTAGATCTGCTTCACGCGACGATACTCTTCTTGTGTATGAAAGATCTTATCGACGAAAATCGGACTCAACCGCACCTTGACGCCATTGGCGCGATGGATGTCCATGAACTCGGTCCCTGCCGAGGCCGGACAGTTTTGCACAATTGCCGGGAAAAGCAGACACAAATTCAGAAGTGCCAGTACAAGTCGAAAACGTTCCGGCACATGCTGCAAGTTAAACCCTCCAATAAGGTGGGTTTTAACGTTGCCCGTGACGTCTTGATAGATAGCAAATAATTATAGCTCGAAGCCCGACGCAGCATAGCCAAACACATACGGCACTCCACCGTAGGACCACACCAGCGTTTTAAAGAGCTCCTCACGAGGCACAGTGATAGAAGTACGAGGTTCTTTCTTCTCTGTAAGAAAGACACAGATATGATCCAAAGCAAACAAAAAGTCGGGTCGCTTCAAACCCTGGCGAGGATTTCCAACTCGGGGGCGGTTGATGTAAGGCTAAAGAAGCTCAATGTTGAGCAGCACGGGGGT